TGAAGAACCGGCAAGTTCTTTACCTTTGCGGGATTTCTTCCTCCCAATCTCGTTCCTTCGATTGCGTTGGAGGTTACCCAAATCAACCGAATATCTACCACCTTCCATCTTAAAAATGTAACAAATATTAATTGACAACAAATATAATAATGGATACAAAACTAATGCAACTAATTAAAACTATTTTAATTAATACTTCAAACTAATTTAGTGCAAAGTAGAATTAATGTGTGACTTTAAAATTAAAATTATAGCAACTTTTGAAGTACTTTAATTTAGTAAAAACTACTTAAATAAAATGTTAAGTACTTTAATTAATTGAAAATAAGAAAATGTGACTTTAACTATAATGACAATTAACTAGTTTATTGAAGTAGAGTTGTTTTAACAATTAATGAGAATACTAATGAAGTAAATAACTAGTATAATTAAAAATGTAATAACAATGCTAATTAACTAATTAACTAGTATAATGACAAATGTAACAAGAATGCTAATAAACTAATTAACTAGTATAATGAAAAATGTAACAATAATGGTAATGAACCAATTAACTAGTATAATGAAAAATGTAACAAGAATGCTAATTAACTAATTAACTAGTATAATACTAGTTATAGTAAGTAATATATAATATAATGTTTATAGTATATAATATATAAGTATACTACTATAAGATGAGTAATACACTTATATTTTATACTTTAATATATAAAGTATATATTAAGTAGATGTAGAATGTATGTATTAAGTGGATATAATAATTGTATAAGAATTAAATATTAGAGTATAATGGAGAATTGGAGATTGGAAAATAAGAAAATAAGTATATATAAAATATAAGTAGAGAAGTAGATATTATTATGTATTAAGTATATAGTAATAGTTTATAAAGTATATTTAATACTTTATTATATAAAGTATATATTAAGTAGATGTAGTATGTATGTATGTATTAAGAGATATAAGTAGAGATTAAGTAGATAAGAAATATAAGTAATATAGTATATGTATTTATAAGTAGATAATTAATATATAAGTAGATATAATAATTGTATAAGTATTAAATAGTAAAATAAAATATAAAGGAGAATAAGAGAATTTGAGAAGATGAATATGGAGAATTGGAGATGAGTAGAGAGTAGGATTTAGGTAGAGTTGGAGAAGAGGTGTGAAAAAATGTTTAAAATTAGGAGTATTTATAGTTTTTTTTAACCCCCCAAAGGCCCCGGACCCCCCCTGGTACCCACCCAACGGCTATATAGCCGTTTGGGAAGTGGCTGTTGAGCCAAAAAGGTTTTTTAAAATTAAAAGAATTTTTTAAAAAAAAAAAATAGGACCGTTAGGCCCGGGCCCGGGCCCGACCCGGCCGGGCCGGGCCACCAAAACCAACACTCGAGCCCGGACCCGCTACCCCCACCGGTTCGGTGCCCGAACCGGACCCGGACCCGAGAACCGGGCCGGTTCCGGGCCTGTACAGTAACGGGCCGGGCGGCCCGAACCGGGTCCAACACTTATTTAAAAATATAAAAATATTATGCATGCCTTTCCTGCAGCCTCGGCCATCACCAAGCAATGCCACCTCCGATCAGTGAAAAAAAATGCCTTTTTATATAAAAACTTCCATTTTTCTTTGAAAATTTCATAAAGATGACAATTTTACTCTTTGAAAATGCCAAATTTTCTCAAAAGTTGCCTTCATGATGGCATTTTTGGACAAATGTTGGGCCTGCATATGTTTTTATATTTTTTTCGTTTTTCATTTTTTTATTTTAATGTTTTTAGCTTTTATTTAATATTTTCATTTTAATGATTTTGTATTTTGGGATAAGGGTCAGATAGGGCCTCGAACTCGAAAAAAAATGTCAAATAAGGTCATATTTAGGATGCTCTGTCCGGCCGACGCCATTTGGGGCGGTTCCAGATGCCATTTTTTGATGAAATTTTTTGAGCATCTTCCTCATTAAGTGTAGTTTACCCATACCAAATTTCAGCTAAAAATTCAACCGGGAAGGTAGTCAAATGATTTTTTGAAGATAATTGTGAAGTTAAACAACGCCGTACATTTCGGAAAATCATTTGACTACCTTCCCGGTTGCATTTTTAGGTGAAATTTGGTATGAGTAAACTAGACTTAATGAGGAAGATGCTCAAAAAATTTCATCAAAAAATTCCATCAGGAACCACCCCAAATGACGTCGGCCGGACAGAGCATCCTAAATATGACCTTATTTGACATTTTTTTTCGAGTTCGAGGCCCTATCTGACCCTTATCCCTTGTATTTTTATTAATTTTATTTAATAAGGATATATTTTATTTAATATGTATTTTGTGTTTTTTAGCAATTTTATTATAAATTAATAAATGTCATTTCTTTTTTATTTTAATTATTAATGAAAGTTGTTGGGGCTTGGGGCTTGAGTGGGGATATATTTGCTCAAATACTAAAGTTACTCTTATTCAAAACATGTCACTCCTATTTTTGCATTTTGCCTATGTTATACTCCTATTTGGGGAATTATCTCTAAAAATAAAATGAGAAAACTTTTAGTGAGGAAGGGATAAATTATGTATGTAATTGTTTTCGGAAGATCGATAAAGTTGTTTTGACTAAGTCATGAACTGCTTAAAGAACAACGAAACAAAATGAGGTGTGAATTTGATACTATTTTAAAATTACGTGAATATGAGAGTATTTTGAAAAACTCAATGAAAAGTGACTGTTATTGTCATTTTTCTTTACAGACATCGAATACGACAATGACAAAAATGTCATTATAGAAATTAGGTCTGGAATCGGTTCGGTTTGTACTCAAAATTGGTGGAACCATTATGAAAATTCTAACTAATGAAACCGGTTTGGTTCTTAAGTGAGAAATCAAGAACCGTTATGGAACCAAACCAATATTAAACGGTTTGGTTCTTGCTTTTATCGGTTCCTCAAATAATTTTTTTTCTCATCTAGTGAATTAGCACGTTATTTGCTTTCTACCACATAAGTATGTAAAAACATCAAAACACAAGTACTAAAATTTTAATGAAAGTTCTAATCACTTCAAACATTAAAGATCAAACTTAACTAAGTGAACACTTAATAGAATAAAAGAATATTTCAATTTTCGTTCATTGAATAAGTAGAACATAAAAATCTTTGTTATGTGGTAACAATGAAGGTTGGTCATGATCACCGTAGGAAAATAGGACGTCCACTTCGAATCTTTGCTAGTAGTATAATTTACAATAAATCTAATAGTTACAAACTTACAAATACCATGAAGATATTGAAGTAACATATATGCAATCAACTACAAGTTATTTGAGTTATTTTATATTTATAAAATTTATGGGATGTAACAAAACTTGATTTGTAAAAATGAGCTTAACGCATTCAATCTCATGTGCAATATTGATTACTTTTGTTTTCGTTGGTTAAACAACAATAATTGGCTAAATACCATTGATTGTACTACTATTGTTATTGTTGATATTATTGCTATTCCTATCACTATTATAATTACAATTTTTATTTTTTTACTAACGGTTCCGCGCACATATTTTTTATAGGAACCAGAAACCAAATCGTTAGTAACAACTATGAACCGAACTATTAACAACTAATACCACATTTGTAGGAACCAAACCAAACCAAACCGAGTTATAACGGTTCAGTTCCAACCGGTTCCGCGGTTCCCGATTCCGAAATCCCACACCTAATAGAAATAGTTGAACTTCTTAAATGGAAGTGAGATACCTTTAATATTTAAATAATAAATAAAACGACAAGTAAATATAACACACCCAAGTTTTAAATTTGGCCTTGTTTAACAAGCATGTCAAGCCCATGTAAGTAATAATACGACTTAACTAACATGTCAATAATATCATGGATCTCATCCCGACATTGTGGTGAACGAGAAGGTTACAAAAGGACCATTGATGTGGCATTGGCCACATTGTAGGGATCATTTGGTGATATTGTCATAAAGTGGATGTAGCCCCAATTAGTGATTTTTGGGAGTTCGAAAAGTTAATAATTTGGAGATAGTTTCTATTCCCAAATAAGAGTACAAATTACAAAATAGGACTGTCCATATTTTATGGAAAATAATGCCAAGTTTGGAAAATACTGTCATGTTTGAAATCTGATACTGCCAAAACATGACAGTAATTAGTCTTATTTTGGGAATAAAAATATGACAGTCCTATTTTGGAATTTTCAAACCTTTTTAGTCCTATTTCGGGTAATATTCCCTTAATTTTTTCATCAAATACATAACTTTTGATTTCACATGTTGAATTGTGTAATAATCGAATTAAGTAAAATTGAAGCTACTTTTCTGTCTGAATTGACCGGTCTTACTATAAAGGACATTTCGGCTGCTTTTAATATATTTTTTTTATTTAATTAAAAAATTATTTTAAATATAATTCCCTCATAACTTAATAAATTCACCTGCTTCAGTCATAAGTTCATCAATTTCAGCAGACTCGACTCATTTCAGTGTTAAATTTTAAGAGCCCATTTGGTAATACCGAGATCGGCTGAATCGGCTTATGCTGCTGAAATTTATAAAATTTTGACTGGAGTGTCTGGAATTTCTGATTCTAATGATTTATGGAAAAGTTGTATTTAATATATATTTAATTATTAAAAAAAATGAAAAAATGTCTAAGATGATTCTCTACAGTAATTTCAACCTATACAACTAGAAAAGTAACTGAAACCTTACTTTTCTTATTATTACATAATCAAGCGCACGAAATAAAAAATTATGTATCTGAATAATTATATTTTTCTTTTTTGCACATTATGAGCCTGTTTGGTGATTCTTGCTTTCCGCTTATTGGTAATTTTTTTACCAACTCCACAATATTTCATTTGACGGGATGAATTGTATAATAATAAAAATAAATCGAAAAAATATATGGGGCATGTCAATGTCCTATTACGGACCACGTTAGAATGATGAAAGATCAAGATTCACTAAATATATTTTTTTTTTTTGGCAAAATTCAACTTAGCTTGTATTAATATAATCATGGTTCAAAGAAGCTGAAATACAATCAGGAGGGAAAGAAAACCAAATATGGCAGCCAGACATAGAATCAGCAGCTTTAGCCATATCATGTGCCGCCCGATTCGCTGACCGCCTCACATGAGCAAAAGTTATGTCATTAAAACTAGTTGAGAGCTCTCGAATATCGCCCACAATAACACCAAATGATGATTCATCTTCCCCACTCTGAATGGATTTGATCAACTGTAGTGAATCTGTCTCCAAGTCTATATGGTCCCATCCCGCTTCCTTCAGCCAACTGAGAGCTTCCCGGACTGCTAGCGCTTCCGCCTCCCTTGGTAGAAACACCCCTGTTCTATTAATGGCACCCCCAACGATGAACTCCCCTTCACTGGACCTCGCTATCCACCCTAAGCCCATGCTGCCTGAACCCGTTTTAACCGCAGCATCAGTATTTATCTTCACTCTTCCTTCATCTGGCTTCACCCACCTCACAGTTGTCTGCAATTGATTCTGTGACTTGCGGTTTGTTCCTTGAGCTTGCTGCCAACCTTCCAGAAATGTTAAAGCTCCAGCCACAATACTCTGAGGTGGCGTATAAACCTGCTGCCAAAGGATTGTATTCCTAGCATTCCATAACCCCCAAATTAGCATAATAAACTTACTGCAACGTTCCTCATTGTGGTTATTCAATAATCTCTCAACCCACATCTCAAAGCTTATACTAGCATCAAGCTGAAATGACCAATTCATTAAGCCCCAGACCTGCTGTGCAATAGGACATAAACAAAAAATATGAAGTAAACTTTCCTCTCCCGCTAAACATGATTGACAGATCGGGGAGCAGCTTACTCGTTTAGTCATTAAGGTATCTGCCGTAGGTAAACAGCCTATACACGCCTGCCAGAAGAAGAATTTGACCTTCGGTGGAATAGGTAAATTCCACATTCTCGTCCAGCCATAACTCGAAACATTTCCTGAGCTCTGCATCAAGAATTTGTAGCTGCTTTTCACCGAATAACTGCCATTCTCCTCCCAACGCCATACCAATTTATCTGGTACATGCCTTTGACTCACCGGTATTCCAAGAATCAGCTCCCTATCCCTGTTACCAAAAATATCATTTACAATATCAACATCCCAGCCTCCTCCCCCGTCCCTCTGCAATAAACCAGCCACTTTACACCCTTCCAGCCCCTGAACAAGTTGAGATTCCACCCTCGGATTATCTAAGCAAGGCAACCAAGGATCATCCCAAACATTAATAGAGTCCCCCCGACCCACTCTCCATCTATAACCTTCCTTGATCAGAGACTGGGTCTCTAGAATGCTTCGCCAAATAAATGAGGGATTGTGCCCAATTTTGGCTTCTAAAAAAGAAGAACGGGGAAAATACCTGGCCTTCAATACTTTCACTACTAGACAGTGTGGTTTAGTAAAGATCCTCCATGATTGCTTCCCGAGCATAGCCAAGTTAAACTCTCTGAGTCTTTTGAAACCCAACCCACCTCCCTTCTTCGGAGTGCTCAAGTTGTTCCAATCTTTCCAACGAATCCCCTTTCCGGAAGAACCTGTCCACCAGAAGCCATTCATAATACGTTCAAGTTCAACACACATGTCTTTAGGAAATAAGAAAACATTCATAGCGTAATTTGGCATGGCTTGAATAACGGTTTTCAAAAGCACTTCTCTTCCCACTTTAGAAAGAAACCTATGATTCCACCCATTCAATCGTCGTACAACACGTTCTTTAATAAAACTCAGAACCTCCCTTTTACTTCTACCCACTAAAGAAGGCAACCCGAGATACCTTGCTCCCATCCCCATCGGCTCAACCCCCAGCATCTCCATAAGTCCCTCCCGAATTCCTCCGTCCACACTAAATATATTAGTTGAACGGATACTGACAATTCATCACAACATCGTGTTCCATAGTAAGGGAGTGTTTTTGTTTGCTTAAAAAAAGCGCTTTTCAGCTTTTAGATTAAAAAAAGCTGAAAAGAGTGTTTTCAAATGACAGCTTCTGCTTAAATTAATCACTTAAAAGCTAAAAGCTAGAAGCAGGTAGAAGGGTGCTTTAAACTGCTTTTCACTTTTTCTATTACACAAAAAGTACTTATTTTATCAAACACTACCAACTTTTACTTTTTCATAATCACTTTTTTCTCAAACACTTCCAACTTTTACTATTAATCACTTTTCCCAAAATCACTTTAAAAAATCACTTTTTTAAAGTTGAAGCAATCGCAAACACTCCCTAAATACTCCGGCATGCTCCATAAGTATACTCAAATATGTAAGATTAAAATTACTTTTCTAGCTCAAATTACTATACAGGGTGATTTAGTTATTCTCATACATATTTTTTTTGTATGTAAAAATTAAATTCAACAGATTTTATCAATTCAACTGAATTTCACCAATTTAAGCAGATTGAGTCAATTTAGCCAATTTCAAAGCCCGTTGGGTAACATTGGAAGAAGCCGAATCTGCATAAATCGATCAAATTCTTACTAAAGCGGTCCAATTGACGGAATTTGTTGAATTATGAAAAAAAATCATATTTAAAATATATTTTATTAATAAAATAAAGGAAAAAATACGAAAAATACCGAAAATGAATCTCTAGAGTAACTTCAGCCAATTCTGCCAAAAAAATGATTTTGAACCCTACTTTTTTTAGAAACCCTACTTATTTTGCTATTACACAATTTAGCGTATGATATTAAAAATTACGTATATGGTAAAAAAGTTGACTGATAAGCAAAAATTTGGAGCTACCAAACGGACTCCCAATTACACCGAACGTCTCTATATTTGTTACCTTTTTCGTACTTGATAAGTCCGTATTTAGACACGCATTTGATGCGTGTTGGGATTGTATTTTGATGGTTTTCCTAGATTTAAGGTGTTGCAAGTCTTAATTTTAGCTCAAGTTATGTTTAACAGGCGTTGGTTCGAGTTTTGTGTCATTTGGAGTCAAAATAAGGATTTTAGAGTTCGGCACTGGCGCTTGAGGAGAAATTGGGATGAGTTGAGAAGCATTTGATATTGATTTGAGAGCTTTGGAGGTCACCGGAAGATTCACGATGAAGATTTGAAGGAAAAAGAGCTCTAGGTTTGGCTACGGGGTCAAAAGAAGATGAATGAAGCTTGAAAACGACGATCAGGATGACCTTCTGTCCATCGTTCAAGAATATCTCTTTTTAGAAACATCCAATGTACATGATTCAAGTTCCATAGGAAATCCAACTTCAAGGGCTACAAATCATATGAAGACACCTTTGCGAGAATCTGAGAGGAAGAAGGTGAAAACAGACGATGAAGTCAGATGATCTCTGCTGCGATTTCAGAAAGACACCTTCCACCGTTTTGATCCTATCTCTTGATTGGATGATTCAAATCACATTCGGCAAATTGTGGTGGATAGAGGACTTCATTATCTACAACTTTCATGAAGGAAGTTTTGTCAAATTCGGAAGTTAAGTGGGCACGATCGTGCCCTCAAAGTCAGACACGATCGTGCCTGAAGAGAAAAGCACCGCGAAGTTACTGCCTGCCAGGAACGATCGTGCCTGGAGGGAGGCACGATCGTGCCTGCCCAAAATGCGTGTTTTTGCTCCGGAGGCACGATCGAAGGCACGATCGTGCCTGGCATCGTGTCTGGCTCCGAAAATCCTAATTTAGCTCAAATTTCACCCGATTTTTCTATTTAAACAGCTTGTAAACCCCCGTTTTCAAGGGGGGGGGGGGAGCTTAGAGAGAGTGCCTAGCACAAAATTTAGAGGGGTTTTCAGCCTTGTTCATCAATCTTTTGGGATTCTTTGTAAGTTCCACCTTTTTAATTAATGACAATTAATTCTTTTTATTCCAATTCTATTGATTCTTCAATTATGAATTGTGAGTAGTTTTAATTAGGGATTTGGGATTGATGAAGGGGTTAATCATGATGTATGGTTAGATTCTTTTCGGTTTAATTGCATGAATGCCGTTTAATTTGTGTTTGAATAATTTAATTGATATCTTTTGTAACCTAGAATCGCGACTAGAATTACAATTGCATGTAGAATAAATTAAGAGAGATCTAATTTGTTCTAGGACACATTCACACACACTTAATCGTTCGCCAAGAGATTAGTAGCGATTAAGGGGCCATAAGCTCGCTCGTCTTGGCAATAATTTAGGATCCTGTCACATGAGAGATCAGCCTGCTCCCCTAAATTATTGTACTCTACGCCGCGAGAGCAGTAAGAACTTAGTAATGATTAGCTAGGATCAATTAAATTAATTTCATGTAATTAGGCCTGATCTGCCAGAAATTTGGTTACCCCGGAATCGATCCTTGTTCCCTTCGTCATTAATTAGAAAGAACCTCCTAGTTTTATTTTCCAAACCAACCAATCTCGCACGACGCTTTTATTTTATTTTCTTTTTAATCGCTGAATTTAATTAATTCTTGATTCCCTTTTGTCCGTCCCTGTGGAGACGATACTCGTACTTACACCACTATATTACGATCTATTTTAAGTGCGAGAAAACCCACATCATTACTTATAAAAGGAGTATGTTAATTTTTTTTAGAGTGATATAATATCATTTTTAGTACTGTTCGACATTTAAATAAAAAATGGAAACTGCCCTAAATAGGAGTAAATGAAGTTTGAAATTCCAAAATAGGACTACTATGTTTTTCTTCCCGAAATAAGAGATGTTACTGTCATGTATGAAAAATACTGTCATGATTGAAAAATATTGTCATTAATTTTAATACACATTTTCATGTTAAATGCACTGTACTGCAACTATTTCATTGTCAGGTGGAACATTTTTCGGAATTGATATTTCTCCCCTATATTTGGGTTACAAGAAATTCAATATAGGATAATTCTTAAGGACATTCAAGAATCTCGACATTCAAGAGTACAAACCAGTGAGTATATGGATTTTTTCTTTTAATTTGAATATTAAAGTGATGAAGATTTGTTCTATCTACTCCTCTATACGAAAAATGGAGACACGTCTCCATTTGAACTGTTGCATGCAGTTAAAACCCATTTAGAACTAACATTGACAGTTTTTGGAAAACTGCACGAAACTGCCTCAATCGCTTAGAGTTCTACCTCGAGTTCTACTGTAGTTGACATTTTGGGATTAAACTTTTTCTTATATACAAGTGAGCACTCCATATCTACTAAGTTGTATTGGATCATTGGCACTAATGTCACTGCCAAGTATACAAAACGGCCGGTGACACTAAAATCACCAACAATCTACCCCCATTTTAGTGTAACCATGAAATGAAATGACATAACAAAGTTTATGAACCAAAATTTGTACATAAATGAAAATGTTGATACGATTGAATTTCCATCTTAGTATTTACACATTCCAAATATTCGAGAATCGATGTGTCCTATGGATTGAACCTGTCAACTCGTTTGAATAACTGAACATAAAATGCATACAAGTTTCTATTCTCAACAATAATACAAACTTGACAAATTAAATCATAAAGTCGTGTGTTCTAATCTCATTCATGATCGTATAAAGGCCAAGTCCCAAGCCTTTTGAAACGCGACTACACTTCACAATCATATTGGTAATTCCTTTACTCGTGTACTTGGTTACATTTTATCAAAGGAATTATTAAGAAATAAATTCAACCCTTTCTATTATAGGCCCGAACACACACTTTGAGATGATTTTGATTATGTGTTACAATCCATAAGTGTGAGCTTTCTGCATTGAATTCAGCCTCTAACGTTGTATTAAAGGGGAATTGGGTGTCTCACCATTAAGGAATTAAATGGACTTTAATCACATCCTATCACAGACTTGTGCACTATTTGACAAACCAAGCTTTTGATCAAGTGGTCCGCCAAGGTATGTTGCGGTCTTACAAACTCCACCGAAATTACACGGTTCATGATTAATTTGGATGCCCAAGACATTACACCTCCCCAAACAAGAATACCCAACATTACACTGAAATATAGAAGAATGATCCTCTACATTGGATATCCAACTTGCATCCGAATATCCCTTTAACACTGAAGGATATCCAATGTAACACAAACCATAATACATGGTTCCATTTAAATACTTGAATACTCTCTTCATTGCTTGTCAATGTTGACTACTAGGATTACTAGTATACCGGCTCAAACTACCAACAACATAAGCAATATCGAGTCGAGTCCTTGTCATGACATACATCAAACTACAAGAAGCTTGAGAGTACCCAAGTTATGATATGGTCATTCCTATATTAGGCATCAAGTTCACATTAGGATCCATGAGAGTACTAACTGGTGAACAATCACTATAATTAAATATTTTGAGAATATTCTTAACATAGTGAGCTTGTGTCAAAACAATCCATTTGTTTACCTGTTTAATCCTTATTCGAAGGATCACATCGCCTCCCCCTTGTCCTTCATGGAAAACCTTGATGATAACAACATTTTAGTTTCATGAACCTAATCTTGGTTCGTTCCAAAAATTAGTATGTTATCAACATAGAAACATATAAACACATACCCACACGGGCCACACCTAAAACATCAAACCAGCTATAAACACATTGCTCTGTTTATTTGGAACCCTATTGAAAACATAGCGGGTCGTG